CAAAAATTGATTATAATTTTAAACTTCACTGTATCCCATTAGTGAAGTTTTTAAGGCAAATAAGATGTTGAAAATAATTTTTGAGAGAAGTATAAGATGTCAGTTTCGAGACATAAAATATCTGAGTGAAGATTGGCAGATGCTGTGACCTTACAGTATTTATTTGTATGGTGTTTGACAAGGTCATTTTATCAATTATTTTCATCGGTCGTTGTTCTGTCTCGAGAATGAAACGCAAGAACTGTTCTGCCATATTATAATGTTCCTCTTATACGCGCACACTTTATTGTTTAAGGAAAGTATTACTGATAAAATTTGATTTCTAAATTGAACATTTTTTTCAAAAGATATCCAAATAAATTAAGACGAAGACTGCTGAATGACAAGGAATTAGTTTATTCATTATATCTCATCATGAGGCTACAACCGATCTGGATTTCTGGATTGGTTTGTAAAAGATTTTTGATGAGTGATATCGTTTGATGAGGATGAATGCAGGTCATAAGCGATAAAGAAGATTTTTAAAGTTAATTCTCAGATTGCTTTGCATTATGGAATGGAATCATTGTGATGGTAATATATGATACTGAATATTTGCATTGAAATGAAGATTTGATGATGTATTCATTTGAGGTGTGGTCATTGTAAGCGTTTAGCACCAGAATATGAGAAGGCTGCAACGAAACTAAAAACCAACGATCCACCAGTGGGGCTTGCAAAGGTTTTATCGTTTACATTTTTCGATTTTATTCATTCGTTTATTCAGGTGCCATATTTTGTGAAAGATGAGTTTTGTTTATTCAGCTTAATCGGGCATTTATATTTGAATTGAGCTTGCCTTGATACAATTATCGCTGAATGTGCAAAGTATCCCAAATTGTTATCGTAATATCGTGAGGGTAAAATACTTATATGGCCATGCTTATATTGAGCGGCTGCATGCATAATTTTTTGTGTCTGTAAAATAAAGAAGTATTGAGACGAGACGTTGAAAATGAAAGTGAAACGATATAAGAGTGTGATTAGTGATATTGTGAGATGATCAAAAAGCGTCAAACTTGACCGCAAGTTTTGGATGTGGAATAGATTTGTTTTAGAGCATTTATGACAACAGTACAGACCGTTTTTGTGCTAATATCATTGGCCAGGAAAGTTGAGATTAAAACTGATGTTGTAGTGATTGCTTTTGTTGGAAGAAACAAAATGGAATGCATGGTTGATTGTAAGAATATTTTTTGTTTGTTCGTTGGTGGACAGTTTTTGATGTTATGTGCAAGTGAAGTTTTGTTGTGGGGAGTAAATGAATGAAGTGAAATGATGTGAGGTGGAACACTTTGAAGTGTGCGCAATTTAGGTGGATTGTACAGCCGAGACAAAAACTTGTGGTAAATATGGTGTTAGCGGTTTTCCAACGTTGAAAATCTTCCGAAATGGCGTGTTCGCACAAGACTATGACGGACCACGAGAAGCGGAAGGTATTGTCAAGTACATGCGAGGACAAGCTGGACCCTCAGCAGTGGAATTGAAGAGTTATGAGCAATTTGAGAAGTTCGTCGATACTGATGAAATGAGTGTCGTTGGTGAGTCGTCTTCAGTGTTTATTTCGTGATTTAGTTTTTTAATTTTATGTTTTTTAGTCATTTGTTTATTGTTCATCAACTTGATGTTCTTTCTGTTTTATTTTGTTTCATGTGCGTTTTAATAATTTCAATTATTGATGTGGATTAATTTAATTGATTCTGATTGAACGCGAATATGAACGAACGTGTCTTGGGATTATTGGGAAATACGTGTTGTGTTATGAGCGAGGTGGCAAGAGGGAGTCTCTGATTGTGATGTTTCAATTTTGTGGGGATGAAGGGAAGGTTTTTTAATGTTTATATGAACCTTGGAAGAAGACTCGACTGTGCCTTAGTCATAGTATTTATCAGGAGAAATCAGAGCTCAGAAGAATGGATAGCAATGAGAGTGAAACGTTTTCAACAGAAGATTTGCGTTTGGGTGAATGTAATAACCTGAGTTAAGAATGAGATTTCTAGGCGTTATTCTTTGGATCGAATGAGAAGGTAGCTAACGGTATGTTGTGGAAAGAATGCACGGTATATTTTAGGTGGGAATTGTTTTGATGTAGGAAAAAGATTTTTGTGATGTGATGGAAAAATTGTTTGTAATCATTGTGAGCAATTTTATTTGAAAAAGGGAATCAGTAGTTCTGGATTGTTGGTGTATGATTGATAGTTTAAATGCACGAAACTGCGTGCAGATTAGTGC